GACACACAAGTAAGACACAGATGTTACCACACACACACACACACACACACACACACACACACACACACACACACACACACACACACACACACACACACTTCATTTCTTATCATACTGTCTGTGTTTCCAGCTTCATCAAAGAGGAAAGTCTTCAGCCTAATCATCAAACTTAGAAAGTGCGTCTGCCTCCTGGATCCAGCTGCGACAAAGCTCTCAGGCTCCTGTATGTGAGTTCCTATAATTAGTAATCACCCCTGGGTGCTTAAAGAAATCTTGTCCCGTGACTCACACCCAGTGCTGATCATGCTGATTACAACAGTGTGTTATTGTGTGTGTGTTCAAAGATGAACTTTTATTTCCAGATAACCAGCCGATGACACTGCCTGACTTATACTGAGCTGTCAGAGCTGCTCTCCACATCAGCAGAGTGACACTGACGGTCTGGACGGTCTGTTTGATCGACACCATCCAAATCGGATCATGCAGAGACAAGGAAACGTCAAAAAACAAAAACATTATAAAGCGAGGCATTTAAAGCTGAATGATTTGAAACAGGAAGCTCAAGATACTCATTTGTACAAGAAGTACCTCTACAAAGACGACATCCCTCCGTACCCCGGACCTGGAGAGGTTTCACTTGAGTTTCATGTGTCTCGGCTGAAACACGACACATACAGATTAGAAGAGATCAAGAATGACGGAGGCTTCAAGGATCCAAAGAGCGGCTCAGAGGATCCAGACAGACTGTCCCTGGTGTGGTGGAGTCTGGCTGTGGCACCAGAGGAGATCCAATCAGCTGAGAGGAGGCTCCTGGAGGAGACCTTCCCAAACCGGACCGAGGAGCAGGTCCGGAGGCAGCAGGGCTTCCTGGTGGACTTTGCCTCGTCTCCAGCCTTCAGTGAGAAGTCCAGGTATGGATCGTACCGCTTCACCTTCACAGTGGAGGAGGTGCTGGAGGCCTACAGCAAGCAGGTACGGACTCCTTCACTGTAAATTAACATTAATTAGCTCAATGAAGATTTTTAAACTTGATTTTGTCAGTGTAGCCCCTCAGACTGAAAAAGCTCCCTGACTCCTTCATGTAATCAATGATTTTCTGTTTTAGCTGGTCAGCTTCACCTCAGTGGAACATTTTGTGTATTATGTGTTTGGCTGAGACGTCTGTACAACGTCCCGGCTCACTGATGAAGCCCGGTGTAGCTGGTGTGAGTCTGTCATCAAAACATGGTTTTTTTTCCAGTATTGCTCCGGCCGCCCGCCCGTCATGCGTGTTCTCAGGACTTCCCTGTACAGACAGGAAGTGATGTATGCTGTGCTGGTCCACAGCTCAGCCAATGACGGGCTCTTCGCTGAGTATCCCATGCTGAATGACCCTCCGAACACCATCTGTGCTTACAGGGACGGACGCTTCACCTGGAGGCCCGAGGCCATGTGTGAGACACACAAGTAAGACACAGATGTTACACACACACACACACACACACACACACACACACACACACACACACACACACACACACTCAGACAACATTTGGTGGATGTTCCTGATCCTTTGACACTGTCAGCTGATTCAGACGCTGCTTCCTCTCAGATATGTGCTTTTACAAAGACGTGACAAAAACCTGATGGAAGCTTGGGGGCTGATTCAGGATCCACAGTTTTATGTTTGGGACCACGTCGCCATCGCCCTGCATGTGGCGGGAGGACAGGTACCTTCACTGCTCCTCCTCCTCACACACCTGCAGAAACATCAGCAACATTATTGTGTTTAATCATCGTAAAGCTGGAGGAAGCTTTTTGATTCTTGTCTTTCTGAGTTTTTGGTCTTTGTGTGTTTCTGCCAGAGCTGGTGTGTTTGGAGGTTTGATGAATAAATGATGTTTACTGTAAATAAACTTAAACGTTTCAGTTGTGTTTTTGTAGGTTTTTTGTGTAAAACTGTTGCTCGTCTTTTTCTCTCTGTTCATTTTCTTTTCCAGGTGCTGAAGTTTGATTCTGATGATCTGAGAAAGAACCTCACGTTCTGCGAGTGTGACGCTGTGACAGTCACACCTAATTCTGACTTTCAACATTACCAGGATGCTCAAAGCCTCGTCACTCGTTTGTGGCCACTGAAGAAGGAGGTTTCACTCCAGCAGAGAATCAGAGGTAATAAATCAATAATCAATAACAGGCTGACTTCCTGCTTCACCTCCTGACACAGCCGATGAGCTGTGAGCTGTAAACGTCTCCTGATTAACCTTCTTCATCAACAGGCTCTACAGAGTGAGGCTGTCTGTGGAGTTTCTCCACCTTTATTCTCCTTTTCCTGAGCGACTGCAGCATCACCGGCTGCACAGTGAACCACGGTGGAGGTTACACAGAAGGCAGCAGCCGAGAGGAACGAACACAGAAAAACTCTTTGATGTGACTTTTTTATTCCATTAGTTTATTAAAGGTTTATTACATGAATTTCCAAAGTGCACAGCAAAAGACCAAAGACAGATAAAACATAAACATGTGATCATGTGTTTCACTGCACTCTGTCCTGTCTGTGTGTGATGTGTTCATGTGACTGAATCAAAGACTAATTACTTTGTACACACAAAAAGTGGACAATAAAGTTGTTTTGGATATTTTGTATTTTGGGTGTTTTCCGTGGTGTTCAGGTGCCTTCACTGCTCCTCCTCCTCACTCTTCACACACCTGAAGCTTTTCACATCAGATCATTTGTTGCTGTCTTTGTTAAATCCGTCCAACGTGTCACTAAAAGTGCTTCGAACGACCATCTACTCCTGATTCTGAAGAGATCTGAAGCACATCAGCAGAGTGTCTGACAGATGACATTCAACTGAAATGAAAATAAATCTGTAACCTGAAAAGGAACCCAGAGGAAACCGTTTCCAATCTTTCATTTAAACCATCATTTATTTCAAAAATAAATACAGTGGCTTGTAAAAGTATTCGGCCCCCTTGAACTTTCCCACATTTGGTCACATTACAGCCACAAACATGAATCAGTTTTATTGGAATTCCACGTGAAAGAAACACAAAGTGGTGCACACGTGAGAAGTGGAACGAAAATCATACATGATTCCAACATTTTTTACAAATAAATAACTGCAAAGTGGGGTGTGCGTAATTATTCAGCCCCCTTTGGTCTGAGTGCAGTTGCCCATAGACATCGCAGTCCAAAGAACACAGCAGACAGGTCAGGGATAAACTTATTGAGACATTTAAAGCAGGCTTAGGCTACAAAAAGATTTCCCAAGCCTTGAACATCCCACGGAGCACTGTTCAAGCGATCCTTCAGAAATGGAAGGAGTATGGCACAACTGTAAACCTACCAAGACAACCACCTAAACTCAGGCCGAACAAGGAGAGCGCTGATCAGAAATAATAATAATAATAATGGATACTTTATTGATCCCCATGGGGAAATTACTTGTTTTTCTCTGCATTTGACCCATTCACCCAGTGAAGCAGTGGGCAGCCCACTAAGCAGGCGCCCGGGGAGCAGTGTGTAGGGACGGTACCTTGCTCAGGGGTACCTCAGGGTAGCCGTTAAGTGGATTCGAACCGCCGACCTTCCGATCATGGGGCGACCACTTTACCTACTGAGCTATCCCTGCCAGAGGCAAGAGGCCCATGGTGACTCTGGACGAGCTGCAGAGATCTACAGCTCAGGTGGGGGAATCTGTCCATAGGACAACTATTAGTCGTGCACTGCACAAAGTTGGCCTTTATGGAAGAGTGGCAAGAAGAAAGCCATTGTTAACAGGAAACCATAAGTAGTCCCGTTTGCAGTTTGCCACAAGCCATGTGGGGGACACAGCAAACATGTGGAGGAAGCTGCTCTGGTCAGATGAGACCAACATACAAAACGCTGTGTGTGAAAACTAACACTGCTCATCACTCTGAACACACCATCCCCACTGTCAGATATGGTGGTGGCAGCATCATGCTCTGGGGGGGCTTCTCTTCAGCAGGGACAGGGAAGCTGGTCAGAGTTGATGGGAAGATGGATGGAGCCAAATACAGGGCAATCTTGGAAGAAAACCTCTTGGAGTCTGCAAAAGACTTGAGACTGGGGCGGAGGTTCACCTTCCAGCAGGACAACGACCCTAAACATAAAGCCAGGGCACCAATGGGATGGTTTAAAACAAAACATATCCATGTGTTAGAACGGCCCAGTCAAAGTCCAGATCTAAATCCAATCCAGAATCTGTGGCAAGATCTGAAAACTGCTGTTCACAAACGCTGTCCATCTAATCTGACTGAGCTGGAGCTGTTGTGCAAAGAAGAATGGGCAAAGATTTCAGTCTGTAGATGTGCAAAGCTGGTAGAGACAGACCCTAAAAGACTGGCAGCTGGACCTGCAGCAAAAGCTGGTTCTACAAAGTATCAACTCAGGGGCTGAATAATTACACACACCCCACTTTGCAGTTATTTATTTCTAAAAAATGTTGGAATCATGTCTGATTTTGGTTCGTCTTCTCACGTGTGCACCACTTTGTGTTGGTCTTTCACCTGGAATTCCAATAAAACTGATTCATGTTTGTGGCTGTAATGTGACAAAATGTGGGAAAGTTCAAGGGGGCCGAATACTTTTGCAAGTCGCTGTATAAAAGAAAAAACGTTCCTCCTTCAGGTCGTCTTTTTCACTGGAGCTAAGGAGCCAAGCTACTACTGAACTACAACCAAAAATAACTGAATGTAAATATGAGGAAACCAACACAAAATACTTCTAAAAAGGCACAAAACTGCAAAAAAACTACAGCAACATAAGACTGAAACAGAAACGTTAAGGAACAGAAACTGAAAGTGCAAAACTCCTGATCTGTCCAGGATCATGATCATCTGTTAGGTCAGCGTTTCCTGACCGCACAGGTTTAATATTGCTGACTGCAGATTTCGTTCATCTCACAGGCTCCTACGTCTGCTTGAATGTGCTTTTAAGACCAGGCAAACGATCAATATCAGATGACCTGATTGATGTGACGTGAAGGAAGCTTTTAAAACTGTGACAGAGCTTTGCTGCAGAAACACAGAGCACTGCCAACGAGGCGGCTGAAGGAAGTCACGCAGCTGAGAGGAAAGCGGTCTGCAGCAGAACATCAGCAGAGACAAAGTAAAAGGCGAACATGGACAGCAATCCTGCTTCACCCTGTGAGTAATTTATAACTTTTATTGTTGTATAAGAAATCTCAGGTTCATATAAAGTTTTTATAAGGAGAATATGAGGTTTTGTATTCATTACATTGATGAATTCATTGTTTTCAGGCAGCTGATTTCTCTTTGTGAATGTGTGAATGTGTGTGTGTGGTGCTAAAACTGCTCTCTCTCATTCTGTTCTATGGTTGTTTCACTTTCCTGTTACAGCCAAATGTGCTGTAACACATTTTAAACAAATGCAAGTGAATTCAACACTGAAAAGCTTTTGTGACAACAAAGCATAAAATCCGACAGTTAACAACCAAATGAACTGTATTTAGACAGCGTTAAAATGAAAACTCTTTCATGTATTGGTGAAAATTTCAGGGAGTTTTTATTCAGACTGAAGCTGCTCCACCATTACAACCAGTGAGTAGATCTCACAAAAACAGACGACCTGAACATTAAAAGTCAATTTATTTGTTGCTGTGTGAAGGTGTGTGTTACGTGCAGTGTTGTAATGTGTCAGAGGACCTGTATGTGTAAAACCCTGCTTTACTCAGCACTCGTTGGTCGGACCAGAGAAAAAATAAAAACTGTCTTGGCTGCATCTCAGAAGGCTGCAGCGGTTTGATGCTGACAAAATCTTCGTCCTTAACAGGAAGAAACCTCCATCAGAACCAGGCTCAGGGAGGGGCGGCCATGTGCCGTGAGCGGTTGGAGTTGAGCGGAGGAAGACAGGACAAAGACACGCTGTAGAAGAGAGCCAGAGATCAATAATAAGAAATGATTAAATGCAGAGAGGTGCATAAACATTTGTGTCCCTCCCCTCAGAGGGCGGCCCCTCCATGAGGCTGAGCTCACTGCTGAACAGAAAGTGTTCTGTCTGCGTGTTATCAGCTACCGACTCATGCAGGAAAGTCCTGATATCAGTGAAAGGAGTAGAAAAGGGGTGTCAAACTCAAATACACAGTGGGCCAAAATTCAAAACTGGAACAAAGTCGCGGGCTAACATTGATATTTATTGAAATATATTTATTCCTCCTGATATAAGAATGAATCTTTTCTTATGGACACGTTTTGCTGAAAAACTGAATATGGAACAAGCAAAGCTTAATACTAAACAATATATATATTAGCTGTATAATACCAGTAAGCCAGCTCTGATAGTAATTTGGTATGGCTTCGCGGGCCAAATGTAATTAGGCTGCAGGCCAAATTTGGCCCGCGGGCCAGAGTTTGACACCTATGGAGTAGAAGGAGACGTGAAACAGCTGGGCTTATAAAACTGCTGCGTCATCTGTGTAGCAGTGATATCATTTCATGCTGATGAATAATGCCACTCAGAGGTGTGATTACCAGTGTTGGTCAAGTTACTTGGAAAAAGTAATCAGTAACTGATTACTGATTACTTCCCCCCAAAAGTAATCAGATTACAGTAACGCGTTAAAAGTTACGCGTTGAAAAAAGTAATCAGATGCCTCTCGGCCTGGGGCTCGGTCGCTCTGGCGCTGCTGGCTGCCGGCAGAGCTCACGGGCGCGTCACTGCAACTCCCCCTGGCTTCTGCTCCGCGGATGCTGAGTGAGCCCTCATCTGGGACTCTCCTCAGCTCTTACTGGGACAGTGGCGCAGCTGCCCCTCTGTGGGTCTTCCATGGTCTCTTGTGTTCTGGGGGCCTCTGGATGTCTGGAGTTTTGATCTCCTCCATACCTGCTTCATACCATGGAGGACGGGGCTGTGGCTCCCCCACACTCCCTAGCAGATCGTTACATGGAGAAACCTTTGGAATGCAAGCATGCTGATCCACACAGGTATGCACACAGGTGTACACACGGGTATTCACAGACGCGGACTAAAGCTTTCTTGGCTGCTGCCTCAAAGCACACTGTGCACTGTCTATCTTGCGTGCTGCACAATATCGTTTATTATTTAGTATCTACTGATATCTACTGCTAGCTAGTTTATTGTGATGGTGCTGTTTTTTCTTATTATGTTGCTCTTTGTTGTTTGCTTTCTCCTGTTTTTTTTCTCCATACAGGTGACCCAGGAGTTTTTTTTTGTTTGTTTGTTTGTTTTTTTCTTTCTTCCCCCCTTCTCACCGTCTCTTCTCCCCTTTGGTTTTCTCTCTCTCCCTCTCTTTCTTTCATTCTTTCCCCCTGTCCTATCCCCCAGTCATGTCTGTCCCGTTTGTAGCAACTGAAAATAAAATAAATTCATAATTATAATAGAGGTCAATCAAATGGACCAATATGGCAAGGCCATGATGATCCACTTGGTAAAATAAATCCGCTTGGCATCTTTCTTGGCCTCAAGACAACAATTCTGATGCTAAAGATCCAAACGGGACAAAAAAAAAAGAAAAAAAAGAAAAAAAAAAGAAAAAGAAAAAAGTAATCAGATTACAGTAACGCATTACTTGTAACGCGTTACTGTAATCTGAAATTGAAAAAAGTAATCAGATTATAGTAACGCATTACTTGTAACACGTTACTGTAATCTGATTACTTTTTTCAACGCGTTACAAGTAATGCGTTACTGCCCATCTCTGGTGATTACTAATAAAGTGGATGTGGAATGCTTCTCTTTGGAAAACCTCATCGATGACATGTTGATCTTCTTCAGCAGATGCAGCAGACGAACGTCTCAGGATCGTGATGGTTGGGAAAACTGGAGCTGGGAAGAGTGCAGCAGGAAACATCATCATAGAAAGAAGAGTTTTTAAATCCACTTCGGCTTCGTCTTCAGTAACAGCAGAGTGTCAGAAGGAAACATCAGAGTTTGGGGGTCAAGCACTGGGTGTAGTTGATACTCCAGGTCTGTTTGATACCAAACTATCTCAAGAGCAGGTGGTGAAAGAGATCAGTAAGTGCATCTTCTTTGCTGCTCCTGGTCCTCACGTGTTCCTGGTTGTGATCCAACCAAACAGATTCACCAAAGAAGAACAAGAAACAGTGAAAGTCATTCAGAAGATATTCGGAGATGAAGCGTCACGCTACACTATGGCCTTGTTCACCCACGGAGACGATCTGGAAGCAGATGAAGTCAGTGTAGAAGATTTAATTAATGGAAATAAAGAACTCAGTGACTTCATCAGTCAGTGTGAGGGAGGATATCATGTTTTTAACAACAGACGAAAGGATTCCTCTCAGGTCAAGGAGCTGCTGGAGAAGATCAACACAATGGTCCAGAGAAACGGAGGAAGCTGCTACAGCAAAGAGATGCTTGAAGAAGCTGAGAAAGCAATAAAAGCAGAAATGGATCAACTCCTAGAAGAAAATCCAGAGATGTCAGAAGAAGAAGCCAGAAGACGGGCAGAAAGAGAAAACGAGTTCACCAGGGCTTGTTTGATAGGGGCGATCATCTTAGGCCCACTGGGAGAAGCACTGGGAGCAGGACTGGCAGCTGCAGTTGTAGCACTGAAAAATAAATGTGTCACACAGTGAAGGTGAAGAATGAAGGTTCATAATCTACGTATTTCCACCTCAGAGTTGGTATGCAGACGACTCAGCACTATACTCAAAATTAACTCAGTGGAATAGAACAGAAATATATCCCACTATTATAAATACACAGCAGTATATGGCCACATCAGACCTATAATGGAATAATTCTAGTTAACCCTCACATGTAGATTTAGGTGGTCAGAACTTCACTGCATGGTTTTGCACAGCTATGCATGTTTAGATGGCTGAGAATAAAAGAGGAGCTGAGATGTCCCAGAGTTGACTGTGAACTGTGGTGTTTGATGTGTGTCTGTTCTGCTGTGCGTAGTAACAAATACTTTGACCACAGCTCTTTGCAGACTTTATTTATGTTTTAATTCCACGACAGAATGCAAACAGCTTGTTGATTGGATGAGAATCTTGGAGCTGCACGAGCAAAATGTAACTATGTTCACTAATAAAGGTCATGTTTACTGTGTGTTTCCATTTATGCATAAATCAATACACTTGTGATGTAAATGAGTATAGTAATGTTAATGTAGTCCTGTTGCATACTGAATACTGCATGCTGCGTTGTTCATGGCTGCATGAGAGCGAGGCTCTCCTGCTGGTACAGCAGACATTACTGTCTCTTCATGCTGGAGGTGGGACATAAATTCCCACTGTGGGCGAGCCGTCACTCTGACCAGCTGCTGCTGAATGTGTTCCTTGTGTTTGGACCACACAGTGTGTACGAACAATAAAGCTTTGCAAAATTCTCAACACTGTGTTTATTACTAAAGTCATAGCTTATCTCGTTCCAGCGGCGGGTCTGTGCTAGACAGACCAATGAGTGGGACATGGAGGTACTGTAGGTGGGCACAGTAGTAACAGAAAGTCTGCTTGAAATTTCTATGTTAAGTCATATATATATACACTGTAAAAAAATATTCCGTAGAAAAACAAAAAATGTCCTGGTAATTTTCTGCCAGTACATTTTCTGTTTTTTTACGGAGGTTTGACGGACCTTTCTGTAAATGATAAAACGGAAAATTCTGTAGATTTACAGTATACTCTCTGTACTATTTACGGACATTTCCTTCAGCTATAAAACAGAAAATTCCGTTTATTCACAGTATATTTTCTGTATCATTAACTGATATTTTCCGTTAATAGAAAAATTGAAATTTCTGTTTATATTACTATTTCCAAGCACTTCTTTTCACTGTAACTAATTAAATATAGTTCTTTATATCCTTAAACGTACATTTCTATGCAATTACAACCTAGTACACCATGTACTCAAAAATTCATAAATTAAAACTTAAATTAATTTGTGCTTCGTACACAACAACATTGGTACAATTAATGTTAAATATTCTTTTATTCTCCTTAACTCAAACACTATACTTAAATATAATGACAGCATCCATCTTGTCATAAAACTACTAAACAGCTGATACATGAACAAAATAACTCACAAGCTTTCAAATTTGAGCATTTTTATTTCCTTAAAATCAGGTTGCCCTCATGAAAATGTGTTTATTTACATTCATTCAAGTGGCTACCAAGTGTTTTCTTCAAACAGGACACCTGACAAACAAAAAATGTCATATTTAACGACATGTTCACATTTAATAATATCCAGAGTACCTTTTAGTTAGAATCACTGCCTTGTGGTAGTTTTGCCTCAGCCAAATGGTTAAGGTGTGGCTTACATCCATGTCTGTCCACTTATGATACAGTATACACATGTAGTCAGTTATAGCCAAACACCTTTGATTACTGAATTACTCACATTACTCACATAATTCACATTTGTGTGAACATTTGTCTGAGATTAACTCTTTGGGCTCTTTACCGTACAATATAACATACTTGAGTCAAAATTTGTTGACTGTTTAAGTGGTGCCACATGAATACAACTGAACAGATCTAAAGAAGATGTTCCTGAACTTTGGGTTTATTCGAACAGGACTGATGGATAACCACAGGACTTTTCCCCATATGATAACTACAACACATAATAAATTAAGACAGATTACTGTCCCAAACTTAAAGATAAAAGTGTATTTACGGGACTTGTTTTGTCAGTGAGGAGCAAAGTATAATTAGAAGTGCTTGTTCTGATGAAAAGTTAAACTGTAAACAGCAGCATAGTGAATAAGGATCTGTGTCATCCTCAGCAGTGACAACACTTAAACATCATAGTTCAAAATCCTTAATGCACACCTTTTTCTCCACGGTGTTCAAATTCTCTAAGCTGGTTAAGTAGAGGAAAAAGTCTGACATATTTCATGACCATTAAATGTTAGACAAGGCTCTGAAAACGAGGTTACAGTTACAAACAAAAACCTCTGCTAGTGCGCACAGACCCTAAATCACAACAAATAAGACAATAGTAAGACAAATTACTACAAAGTCTTGTTACCGCTCTTCATATAACAGTGTGACAAAGTCCTGAATGCAGCCTGCATGTTAGTACATCAAGGTCCACCTGAGCTTTAAGTAAAATACACTCAGCTTTTCCTTGGATTTTAAGAGTTGCTCAGTTCATACAGGAACTGCAGCAGTCGGAGTTAACGTGTCGCTGTGTTGCTCCTCCGTGTCAGCCATTGAGACTAGTTGCAATTTATTCTGAGGAAAAAAAGAGAAACAACAAGACATTTTTAAAAAGTTTGTATTTTTATCATTTTTTTTTACCTAGAGCATAAACAACATAAACAAAAAAAGGATTAGGGCTGTGCGATATGACGATATATATCAGATTACGATATAAAAATGTCTATCGTTTCATATTATACACTATTCTTTGTTTTGTGGTGTTGCAAAATAAACTGTTTACGGCAATATTTTTTTCATGGTTTTGATGGTCACTGTAGTTGCTATATTATTTCTTAAAGTTCTCTCCTTCTCTTATACTTAAAATAACCACACTATGGACGGACAAGTGACTGTTTTTACGCGTACTTTCGTTACCAACAATGAGGATAAAACCATCGTGTGGCTCCGCCGTCCGCTTGTTTATTTTCCACATAAACCTTTCACAATAAAGCTCAAGTTTCTGTTGAGACTTTTCAAACTAAACTGAAATGATATACATTATTCTCAAACATAAAATTTCAGAATATGCATCAAACAAATGACCTCAAATAAAAACATCAAGTAACTATAAATGGCGCTTACAGTCACCACGCAGATGAAGGCACAGAGAATACCAGCATGGCCAGCAAGGATGAGGCAGAACCAGAAGGACCAGTCAAAAGAAATCGAGGACCTTATTGTTAAATGAGGGGCTACCTCTGTAGCATGGACATGGTTTGGTTATGAAAAGTCTGACACGCCCCAGAAAACTGTACTATGCAAATTATGCCACAAACTGGTCCCCACCACCACTCGAACACGACAAACCTCTTTAACCACCTACACAAGAATCACATGAAAGAGTTTCGAGAGAGTTTACGAATGAAAAGCAAAAAAGAGTCGTCAGGTGCTCAAAATAATCCTTAGACTCAAACGTTAGAACAGGCTTTTCCTTGCAGCACGCCGTGTAATAAATAGAAAGAAAATGGCGGCCATTTAAACTCATGTCTAAAAATGTATAGTTTCATGCAACGGTCAAAACACTCGACTCCAGGTACACGACGCCCAACTGAAAACATTTCACATAAGTCGAGTTGCCCGAGAATCACAGAATTGACAGAAAATGCACTATTTTGTGATATATATCGTTATCAGGAGAGATACGTCTTATATTGGGATATGAGATTTTGGTCATATCACGCAGCCCTACAAAGGATTATAATTCACGTAGAGTTGCATACACATAACACCATTCTGTTGCAACAAAAGCAGTTTATAATTAAAGTAACATACATACCTTGAAAAACTAAATCAACCACAACATTAAACTCACCTTGTGTTTGTAGAGAAGGTGATCAGGGTTTTTCTTCATTTCCTGAGACCAGCTGCTCTGGATCATCACCAGCTTGTATCTTCATCTTTTTTTTCCACTCGGGGAAGTCTTTCCTTTTCTTGGCCATTGCTCTGCACTGGAAAACCAAAGTGTGTGATCAAAGGTGAAATAAGGGATATTTTTCCACTGCAGGACTTAAAGTGCTTCAAGTAGTGATAGCTGTTGATCCATTTCTCAAATAATCTGTAAGGATCTGGATTTTTAAGAAAGATACAAATATCTCTGCTTATATTTGGCTAAAAGCTTGATATAGACAAGGCATATAGAGCCCCTGCACACCAGCACTGCGCTTACATTATAGTTCAATCAAGAAATAGTTATTATTGATTTATTATTGAATTTTTTTAGTAATAATTTTTAGTATTTAATCACATTAGCACAGTGGGGTGACAAAAATATTCCACATACAAGAAATACTGCTCAGCATTTCATAAATTACATTTTCAACAAATGTTGGAGTAAAAACACAGTTACAGGGAAAATGTGTCTGTCTGTAAATATTAACTAAACATTTCTATGTGCTACAAAATAGACATACTGTAATTGTAAATGTGCTGAGGTGAAACTATACTTTCAATAATTTTACCACTACAGTCTGTTAACCACCGAAATAATCTATGCTGGTCAGCTAGCTAAAAGTCTTTACTTTAGCAGCCCAAATCAGAGGCTAACATTAGCATTTGCTAGCGTCAGCCAGGAAGGTCTGAGGCTTAAACTAGGGTTAGTGTAACTTTGCCTGAAACCCTTTAAAGTGTACAGTAGAGCCAACTGTAAAACACAGGTATTGATACAGTACTTATTAGAGTCCTAGAATAATTTCTAGAACCATGAAGTTCTCACTTTCCCAGTTATCCACATCGCTGACTTTCGCTAATTAGCTAGTTAGCAGTCACAGCTGTGTAATACCCAGAGAGACACAGACAGCTAACTATAATATTTATGAAAACTGGTTCAGCCACTGAAGGGCAAAACTGGTGGTATCACAGTAAAAATTATTTTAACATTAACTAAAATAAAGCTTAAGTCATGTTAAACCTAAATAACA